TTACAAGGAGGTGCGATGGGGGAATGCTCGCCATAGGCTTGGGCAAAAAATGTCGATATATCGAAATATCGATATTTTTAAATAAAAATATCGATTTATATCGGCGATATTTTAATACGCGATATTTCGACATATCGATATTTATTTTAGAGTATCGAATTCGTATCAATTTCGATATTTTAAAATGTTGTATCGTTTTTTTCGTCGTCCAACCGTCAGTAAATAAAATTTCTTTCTTTCTTCTTTCTTTTCTTCTTTCTATCTTTACATCATGCAAATGTTGACAATATATCGATATATCGATATTTATCACGCGATATATACCGATACTGTTTTAAAATATAGATTCGATATATATCGATATATTTTTTTCCCTTGCCCAACCCTAGCTCGCCAGTATAGCACGCTATTGGTTCCCCATGCTTCCCGCACTTTTTTCACTCTCAAAATACAGTCGCACACACAGCTTTCTTTGCACGACGCGTGACGATGGTTTTAAAAAGGAAGGAAAAGAAAAATTATTTATATCTATTCTTTTATGACTGAACTAGTGAACGAAAAGGTAAATATGATTGGAGAAGGTAAATGGGGAAAGTTGAGCAGTAAAGTTAAAAGTATTGAGGAAGAGTACCGAAAAAATTACCATGTGGTCGACCTGATGACGGAAACATTTATCATTCGCATTGATGATGATGATTCTGATGAGGGAAGCTCAAGCGAAGATGAAAATGATGATGAAGTAGCATCCAGTAACACCAACACACCATCGACACCTGGCTTCCATGTGACCTTAGCTTAAGTTTTCTTGTTACAAACTACTTTATATTTTACGACAGAAATAAAAAATAATGCTCAAGTAAAAATATTATCCATTTTTAATTCCAACCTTTTCCAAAATTCTACGTCTAGCTACTTAAAGTGCCTATTATGAGTCTACAATAAAACAATTAATTACTATTATATTATAAAACAATAGCTTAGTACCATGTAGTTAGTATTTTAGAACGCGACGCGACTGCACCCATGCGCAGACACATTCCCTCCACTGTCGCTCAGCGTTCTTTTTACGTGACGGGACCTGTATATAGCTCGGTGCGAAACAATGCCCACTCACTCTACCCTTCCCTTTCACACACGCGCTACCGTCACCTGGCCGGCTCGTGTCGCCTCGCGCAATGGAATTTACACATGTCAGTTTTGCCAACATGTAGGTAATTCCTAAAATTGTGGAGAATTTAAAGTTGGTTGGGAATTTTATGGGGATTGGTATTATGCGGGGAAAATACGGGGATTTTGAAAATCGATAGCCCGGGGCCAAGTCAGAACCTTTTTCAAGAATTCTAAATACTTATCTTACTACACATTATATTATACATTTTGTTAGGTTACTTATGAATATCGAATGACTCCCTTTTTTTAATTATCTTCATTACACCAGATTTAATTTTCGGATTTATTTCGGCAACTTTTGTGTATCATTTAACGCTTTTCATTTCTTTATTTTTTAATTTTAAAGAAAAAAATGTTAGTTTAAAAGTAAATCTTATAAAATTAGTTGAAAATTGATTCATTTCTTAAAATAAAATTGAGGGGATTTTGTGGGGAATCTCTTGAAGTTTTGTCCTTAAATTGGGGAATTCGACATGAATTTTCGGGGAATTTGACAAATTGGTGTTGGCAACGCTGCCATATTGCACCGAAATTTAGTTTGCCGGCGGTATAAGAATTAGAGACGGCAATCACTATAAAACTTGCAAGTAATTTTTAATAATTTTGACGTACCCCTTTTTAAATTCAAAGTATTGGTCGGATTAAATACGGAAAGTCTTAATTGACTTTAATAAAGTAAAAGTATTATTTTTACATTAATTCTGATAGACTGTCGATCATAATTGCAATTGATTTTAACTATTAAATCATTCAGTACCATTTCATTCCAATTTTTTCTTACACTATAAGTCAAAGATAAAATAGTGTTTATAATTGTGCAAGTGAGTACTGAGTACACAATTAGGTACGTTTATTAATTTCAATATATTTTTTGTATAAAGAACTGCTTTCTGTGTCAGGGCACAATTTATTGTGTAATTGTATTAAAAATTACAACCATAACTTCTAAGATTTTTTAAAATTGTTCTAAAGATAAAAATATATGTAAAATTGTGAATTAAACTATTGTATTAGATAAGTTGTTTATGTTTTCCATATGACGACTAGTCGTAGAGATAACTAAGCTTATAAATAAAATAAACGTTGGCAATGTCGTATGGGTTTTACAGTCTGTGGAAGTGCTCAGTGCTTCAAGGACGAATGCCTCGAGTGCATTTGTTTTGGCGGTATTAATTATTAATTTTAGTTTTAGTTATTGAGACAGTTCCGTGTTGACTATCACGTGCGCGTTCAATCGTTTTGTTTATTACATTATTGTTGTTACGTTTCGTTTTTCTTGTTTTGTTTTAATAATGCCTAACTCGTAGGTACGTTTATAGTGCTCGTGAATACGGCAACATGTTAATGTGCCTTGAAGAATCACATAAGGCCACTTAGCATTTAGATCGGTATGCTGTTTCATACCTAATTTTTCTTAAATAACTTAGTACTGAACTGATCTGAATAGCTACATAACTGAATACATCAGAATAATAAACATACCTAAACGATGGACAAAAAAGCATGACTCTAACCATGTCAACATTTCATTTAAGTAATTTTTTATTAGCGGGGAATCGAACCAGGTATTTGGTTTATTTAACCTGTGATTAAAGTAGCTAGGTGAAGACAAGCACAGTGGCAAAATAGTAGGTTAAGTAGATAAGTTGGGTATTTAGACAAGTGTTGTAAATTATTAGCTATTGTGGTAGGTACCATCGCTAGCTGCGGGCCGCGCAAATTCGGCGTCCGGGCGTACATTAACCCCTAGTCACCTGATTGTAATTCCACTGCTGGTTTTATGTTTAAGTATTTTCATGATTTTTTTATGAAATTATCGTTTCATTTAGCCTTACTAACATGATGGATAATGAACAAAGTTAATAAAACGTTGTGAAAAGATGATTTTTTTCCTCGGGATCAAATTCACTTGTGACTCATGATCAAAGGTATCCTTAGTACAACCATCAGTCTTCGTTTTCGGGAGCGTTTCACAAACACCCGGTACAGTGAAATAATGATAGCTTTGTATAAGAAATTTAAAATTGTTCTAAAGATAAAAATATATATAAAATTGTGAATTAAACTATTGTATTAGTTACGTTGTTTATGTTTTCTATTTATTTATTGTTTCAACCTTATGTGTCAGATATTTTAATGAAATAATGAATAAGAATTTATGTGATCATAATGTGATGTATGTTATAATATTAAGACTTTGTTGTACTGGGTGTTTTGTACAAATAAAGATGTTGGGAAAACTATAACAGAGCAATAGTAAAAATCGATGTTAAACGTATTGTGAAACCGCGCGCGGTGCACGGTTCACTTTCGAGTATAGCTTTAAGGTAGCTCAATAAACGGGTATCTATGCAATTCGTTCGGGACCAGCTATCAGTATATATTTAAATCAAGAAAGAAAAGCGCACAGGGAAGTGATAGGAATAGGAAAAGTAAGGAATAGGGAAATTTTGAAGATAATTGCTGTTTTATTCCTAGAGGATCTTCCACCACCTATAGAATACAGTCCACACCTCAACGGACGGCTGGACCGGGACCACTTCAAGAGGACCCGTAATCTTAGTCGTCTGACTTTTTCTTTTGAGAAAAGGGCATCAGACGCTCTCTTGTGATACTCCTTCACGGGGTTCACATCCCCCTCGTTGACCGCCCGAACCCAACGTGGTGTGATAAAGAGTTTCTGGGTGGAACGTCTATGAAAGACTAATCCCAGTTTGACTGGATCCTTTCAGATGAGGGATCTATATCGGGAGCGCGCTAGATACCGTGTCCCTTACAACTCCATTGGTCTGCCCATAATAATTTAAACGGAATGGAACGAGAAAATGCACCGAACTGCTATAGCACCTACGTATTGATCGAATTCATATGACCTAAGAAAATCTAGAATATCTATCAATACCAAGAAATGTCTTTTATTTCTGTTTTATAGTTTATCACAGTTTTTTTTGCTTTAACTTCAAGAACGTGTTAAAATTGCTAAAATTATTAAATTTGGGTGCTGTGGCAATAATCGAACTAAAAGTGTGGCTTGCGCGTGATTTTAAGGCGAGAGACTTGCTCCTATGCTCCAGAGCATAGATACCGAAATCACTGCAATTTATCAAATGTTTGCTTTACTTTAACAATATAATTACTTTGTCAGGTGTAATTCGTAAGTCAGGATAAATTTTACTAACATTATAAAGTACTGGCGATCCGCCCCGGCTTCGCGCAGGTGACTTATCGATAACAACGCCACCAGTCTTACCGGACCTAATTTTGAATCTTAACCATTTTAGAATAAACTTAATCACACGCACAAAATTTCATCAAAATCGGTCAAGCTGTTTAGGAGGAGTTCTATCACATACACACGGACAGAAGAATGATATACATTCAGTCAAAAAAGTATCGGGAATAGATGATTTGTTTATGGTCCCAAATTCATTTTTTGTTTTTTTTTTGTTGGTGTTAGATTAGCACAACTGTTTTCCATTTTGGCGCGGAGTTTGAGTTACATCTGTTATTTAGATTAAATACAGTGCTGTTTTTAGTTATATCATATCTAGTGTGTATTGCGAATTTCACAATGGACAAAAACATCGAACAAGGAGTTTGTCTTTAATTTTGCATCGCGAATAGAATTTCGTGTTCAGAGTCACTGAAAATGTTACAGAAGGCTTACGGTGAACCGGGTTTATCAAAAACACGTGCTTATGAGTGGTACAAAGTGTTCAACAGCGATCGAGATGTGATGGAAGATTTGCCTTAGTAATTCCTTTGTAAATTCTGTTAAACAATAACGAAACTTGTAGAGATGATAATTGACAATATAATTGTCAACTAACCCATTCTATCCATATCGCCCATTGGAGTAAACTGACAAACGGCTCCAGATTTACTTCAACTTCTAAAAAATTCACTGTGATTATTATCACACCTCTTATTAAAGTAATAGGCAACCAACATACAATGCTTGCGTTAGTTACAGCGTCTACAATCTGAAATTTGAAAAATATTTCTTTATTTATTTTACTTTACATAATATTTAAGTTATAAAAGTAAGAATATAGAATACAACTCACGTGAGCAAATCGAATTTCTTTCCATGGTAATTTTTTTTCATCGTATTTAGTTTCCATCTGTTGCGTCCAGACACGCATTATCATCCTGTATTGCAATTCAATAATAATAAAGTTATTTACATTAAAAAGACGCTTAAAATGTATTGTGTATAAATAAAACAAAACTTACATAAAGAAAAATGGTTTCACACTTCGCAGGAGAAATAAAGTTATGATCGCGTATTTTTCCCAGGTCTGAGGTAAAATCATGTTATAACTACATGTTAAACATGAAAAATCTTTGACGTAACTACCGATTCCAAACATCGGCGAAAGAGAGTACAGTAAAGAAAAAAATAAACATAGGCATTGGTAAAAGATGTAGTGCCATTTTTTTACTGGCCAACCTGAAAAAAAATACTCATCAAGGAGTTATACTTCACTGACTTTCGAAATTCAAAAGTGATAAAATCGGCACTGCACTATAGTATTCATTTAGCTTTTCCAAAAGCGGTCCACTACAAGCTTTAATCAGATATTAGTTAATTCTCAGTTTAAAGTGATAAGTAGCCTTCAAAGAGCTTCTTTTCACATAAAATAATAGAAACTTTTTTATTTTGTTCTCTTCTTATTCTTCTCTATCAGTCCGTAGAAGACAACATCTACTGGACATCGATCTATAGCATGTACAGTTTTCTATTATCACCACGCCATGTGTATAGGACAGGTGGATGAGCGATCAGTATACCAGAGATCTCTAACTTTTGGCGCTGCATTTCTATCTATATATGCTTACTAGCTATTCCCCGCGACTTCGCTCGCGTGTTAGGGTTTTTATATATTTGCGCGGAACCATAATTCTTTTTCTAAAATTAAAGTAGCCTAAGTTACTCCTTGTGAAATCAGCTATCTGCCAGCGTCAAAATCGGTCCAGCCGTTTCGGAGATTACCCGGAACAAACATACAGACAGACAGATAGACAAAAGTTTTAAAAATTGTATTTTAGTTATAGGTACCGTATTTACTTTCGTATGCATTTAGTAAAAAACTGTAATTTTGACATTACAAACAGACACTTCAATTTTATTTATTTGTATTGATTATTTACAACAGGTATAAACAACATCGTTATACCGCATTCTATATGACGCCATAACTCTTTCTCGCTTTTCGCCTAGACTTACTCACCTCTTATGACACCTACGGAACAATATTTGATAATAGATTATCTTAGCCGCCTGCTATTAATTATAAATATAGCGTGCCATTAGCACAACTAATGGAACGCTATATTTATTTACTAAAAATAAAAATCCAGTGTCAGTAAAACTGATTTATCTTTTTTATATTCGCTATACAGCCTTCTCAAGAACGCGCCAGCACCAACTAGCACGTATAAAATAAAGATTTGCCCCTCAACACGCGATGCAGATGAGTCGGTATCGCACTAGCAATAGAAACAGAAACAGAAACTTTTTTATTCAATATAGATTATAAATAATACTTATTGAAATTCACTCTTTTGTTTAATTACCACTGGTTCGAATAAAAAACCTCTGTCCTGGGAAGCACCAGCAAGAAACCCAACGGGACTTTTGTTTAAAAATAACAGCTTTTAATAAAGTATGTTACACACACTTAACAACACAAAACAAATTAGAAATAGCTTGGTAGTGGTCACCTTATTCCCAGGGGATATTACCATCCATTAATTCGTTAATATTATAATAACCGTTTTTATACAAACTCAGTTTAATAAAGTTTTTGAACTTTGAGCAGGTCAAATTTTGTATATTTTCTGGAATTTTTTTGGAAAAGCATATACATCGCTCCAAGAATGAATTACTGTCTCGGTGGAGTCGAGTAACTGGTAGTACTAGATTGTTCCTAGTATTTACAGAATGAATATCACTTAATTTTGTAAAACTACTTTTATTTTTGTGTACGTTTATTACATTTTCATAAATGTATTGAGAGTCCAAAGTTAATAAATTAATTTCCTTAAAATTTTGTCACAGCGACTCTTTAGGCTTTATATCATAAATTGCTCATATTGCCCTCTTCTGTAAAACAAATATAATTTCAGCGTCAGCCGCCTGTCCCCATAGCAAAATACTATACGACATTATGCTATGGAAATAGCTAAAGTAAACTAGTCTAGCTGTTTCATCACTGGTAAGATTTCTAATCTTTTTTACAGTACATGCTGCAGAAATAAGACAGTTGATATATGGGTGCTCCATTGAAGCTTCGCATCCAGTGTAATTCCAAGAAAAATGGTGGAAGCGACAAGACTCAATTCCTTCCCATTTAAAATTACATTATTATTTAATTGTTTGACATTTGGAGTCATGAATTTCAAACATTTCGTTTTAGTGCCATTTAAATGCAAATTATTAACATTGAACCAATTTACTAATTTAGATGTAGCATTATCTACTTCGTCATACTTTAGTAATTTTCGTCTTAATTTGAAAATTAAAGAAGTGTCATCAGCAAATAATACTATATCGTGGTTATTCCCTACTACGTAAGGTAAGTCATCAAAGTATACAAGAAACAGAAAGGGACTGAGAATTGAGCCTTGAGGCACGCCCATTTGTACCATCGACCTGGAAGAGCTCATACTGTTAATGACAACTTTTTGCGTTCTGTTACTTAAATATGAAATTATTAATTTAAGAGCATCACTTCTTACACCGTAGTGTTGAATTTTCTTGATTAATGTTTCATGGTGAACACAATGGAATGCCTTGGATAGGTTATAGAATATACCCAAAGCATCCTGTGAATTCTCCCATGCATTAACCTATAGCATGTACATAAAACTGCCGATCACCAGTTGAACCACATGCAGGTGAGGTTAATGTTTAAGAAAAAAGTTATGTTAGCTTTTTCTTGAAAAAACTCCCTTACGCGGCCTGGCGCCCCATTTTGTTTAATGTATTAGAAAGCGTAAACGTCAAAGAAACCGATAAGATAACAATATATACACATCGATGTAAAATTACGACAAATAAAAAAAACATCAACAAATATTAACTTCTGCTTACCATTCGCAACATACTTCGCAACTACATATCTTTCAATGCATACATGCGTAAGACTTTCTACCTCGTATACTCCCAAAAATGTGTCCAAAAAACCGTAAGTATTACAGTTATGGATATCAAGAAACCTAAAAAATGACATCACTAAAATATATGTAAATATAAGATTTAAAAATAATTTAGTAATAAGAGTCCGCCTAATGGTGACTAGCTATTGCAACCCACTTGCAACTTCAAAAAAGAAGGTAATAAAACATTAAACATTAATCACTGTCACCATTGGCTTATAAACAAATCACTGCTGGACATGACCTCTCTTTTTATTTTAAAAATACATCATATAAATACAAAAAAATAATAACCTACCAATCATATTCCATGTGTTGTAAGAAATATAAAATGTAATAATAGCATCGTCTTATGTTTAAGATTGTTGTGAACGCAGCCAAATTTCGATATTTGAGATCATATCTTAACGTTGTGCACCAAAGATTAAGGTTTAACCATATGATCATAAAAAATGCTATGCGTCCTGAAAGAAAACTAAAAATTTATAAATACAATTTGGAATTGGGACTGCGTAAGCCGAAACGTAACTACTTATATACACAACATATATATAATAACGAAAGACTAAAGTTGCCAAATTTTTGGTTATTAAAATTAAATTAGTCACCTGTTATAACCCAAACTTTGATTAGGGTAGTTTTAGCTTCCGCATCGAAAGCTCCGTTCCAAACACAATCCCCCGTATCAATCGATTTTCCGTACATTTTTAATTTTAGCCCTTGACTATATCCTGTTGCTATATGAAAAGAAACGCAGATACCCTGGAGAATGGCTGTAATGCGCCTGCGTACAACTCACGAGCTGCCAAGGAAGTGGAGCCGCCGTCAACCAGCCATTTGATCCAGTGCGCACTGTAATCTCATGTTTCATCGCGTACTTAGACAAAATCAAACAAGTTTTCTTATGCTCTGTTTAATTTCCCTATTGTTTCGGAATATGATGGAATAATAAAAAGATTTATCATAAATATTGTTGCAATAAAACTATTAATTTTAATGACGTTATTAAATAAATTTAAAAAAATTTAAAATTAATCAACGTTTTCGAAAAAAAAATATTAAAACACGTCGTTTAAATAGGTGCATTATTCTTTTATTACAATATGTCGTTATTGTCATACAAGTCAAGTGCATTATGTATAAAAGTCAAGCATTGCACAATAATGACAACGTTACACACAAGCGTATTTTAATGGGAAATTTTTCGAATGTTTTTTTTTTAATTATATTGTATAGTAGGTAACCTTAATAATTCCTAATTGCTAAGAAATAAAGCAATTATTCATAATCAATCATAGTATTCAAATGAAAGCGTTAAGTTGTTACCGTCGAGTTTAAGTTATCAATAAAAGTTGAATTTGTACAGTTTTTGTATTTAATTGAATCAAAAATATTTTTTAACTCTTTAAGTAACTATTTTGTGTTATGAAATGCTACTACAAACCACCAAACCGTATAATGTATAAAAATAAGGAAACAAGAAATAAAACAGAAATACGTTTTTATTAACTGGAAAGTAAAGTTTCAAAGTTTAAATCACAATTTCGATAGTAACATCTATTAATACAAGAACTTCGAGGAACGCCACTAAAACCAACAGCCAATATTATTGCATACAAGTGCAATACTACATAATATATTTATTAAACATAGTGTTATACAATGTATTCAAACAATTTATGAACGATATGAAATAAAATCGCTCAAATAACAAATTTAAAATTGTTGTTACATAATTAATCTATGGATCTAAGCTAAATCCATATAGGACTATTAACATTTCTCCATAAAGAACTTGCTTTGGCCTGCTTGCACATCCAGTCGATTCTACATACTAAGTAGACGAACTAGAATAATAGACTCCGTCGATTGGCTCTTTTCCTTAATGCTGAATTCCATTTTTTCCTTATCTTCTGTAACTACTAGGCTCTGATGTACCGCTGTGCTCGGTCTGGTCGAAGGAGGCCATACTGTTTGCGCATGCGCCCTAGCAATGCAGCTCGCAATCTCTCATCTCCCGATAAATAACATAAAACTGGTATGCTGGTTGCCGCCTGTAAATAAAGTTACTAAACTAAATAAACTAAATTTTAGTATATATTATATTACGCCGAATTGCCGTTAACCTTAAAGCTTATGCGACTACAACTATCTGCACGGCTAGCATGGGCTGGGGACAAAAAATTCATCCCTCAATTATATCCACTGACACGAGATAAAATTATCGTGTCCTTATGCCAAAGCACGGCAGCGGGAAGAAGTATATGCCATTATATTTTGACATAACGAGTAGACCTATATCCCCCGTCCGTAGCATGGAGCCAAATGAAAGTTAAAAAATTGTGGTTGTTTGACATTTGAAAGGGACAATTTTATCCTAGTTCATTGGACGTGGGTTTAAGTTTATATTCATACAAAAAATTTAAGTCTATCTCCCATTTTATCTACTGGGGATATTATATCCACCGCTGTGCCCATGATCGAAGGGTGGATAAAACTAAGCGAGGGGAAAAACATTTTCTCCTTTCCCCGGGGATATTAAACTCAAGTGTATTCGATTAGTCCGAATAATTTATAAATAATATAAGTGTTCGCGGCTTTGAGTGTACCTTAACTTACTGCCACTGATATTATATGAACTTTCGAATTTTTGACAAATTTAACAGAAGTCGTAGTTATTAACCTACTGCCACTGATATTACTTTTTTTTATAGAATAAGGGTGCCGAACGAACACATAGTCCACCTGATGGTAGGTGGATTCTGTGGCCCATAGACATCTACATTTAAAAAAGCAGATGCGTTGTAACCACTGAGGACTAAGATGGAATGCCTCATTCGTCGAAGATCGAGGGTCTCCGGTTCTCTACACTCACCATACGAAACACAGTAGCATTAAGCTGCTATTATACGCTAGTATTCTGTGAGAGCGTGGTCCTACCCCGGTCTAGCCGACCCATTCGTACTACAACTAAAATAGCTGCAGTGTGGCTCTACCACGTATAAAAAAACTTGATAGGTTCTTTCGTATTTTCAATAAAGTTTATGGGTCTTAATCATTTTAATTATTATTCTGACTCTTTTTATATAGCTAATTTTATCCGAAAGCAAACAACCACCTAAGTTTAACTAGCCGCATGGGCTGCGTGTAGCCGATGCGGCCTAGTTTTATCTGGCTAAACCTACTTTCGTGAGTGTAACCACACTTCGGCTGTTAACCGTGATGATATAACCACCGTTGTAAGGGCTGCAGTGATCACTCATCATCATTTGGACTGCGTGCTCATTTATCATCCTAACTTGTATAAAAAATAAACACACGCCTGCACACGCCGTATGATAGCTGAAGGGCCACAAATTATATTTCATCCGTGGATTTATTTTGGAACTAAGTTTTTTATCGCACGGTACGAATTTGACGGATGGGGCTGGGCGATAAAAAGTGTAGGATTAATTCCGTCACGACCCGCTTTCTATAGTGCGAGCGAGATGGAATAATATCCATGTCCCTCGCACTTTTCTTATCTTGCCATGAAAGAAATAATATTATTTTATATGACGCTCCATTTTAATAGACGCTAGTAATTCATTTATTTGTGTCAATCAATAATATAATACGTTTATCAATAATAATATACTACAAAAGGATCTTCGTTCCAATCGAGCGTTCCACGACACTCACGCATGTTTTTTTCTATAACGTTGATAATTCTGCCCCCTGAACTGTTTATTTTTATTATTTACTTGTATTATTGTATATCTATTGATTAAATTATATATAATTATATAAATATTAGAGAATTACCTCTGATGCAATCGGCGCCAATAAAGAGAGCGTAGGTGGTACGTGTGGTCTATAACCGTAGATAAGAAGCGGCACCCACTGCCAGCCTGCGAGCACGCCGGCAGGGATCCATAACGCCAACGTTGCAACACAAACTATATGGATACTCTATTGAAGGAAAATAAAAACTTAGACACCGTGATTAATACTTTTTTTTATGAATAGTAATTGAAACTCTAGATAAAGTGTTAAAATAATTACAGGAAGTAATTTTACGAGGGTGACACTGACAGTTCTTAGAAAATCAAAAACTGAACAAATTAGCAAGTTATTAGTTTTATTAATTCTTTACAAAATAGTGTCCATTTACTTCAATACATCGCTGCATTCAATGGAACCGCTGAGAAAAGCACTTTGCCCATTTGGCATTTGGTTTGGCATTTTGAAACGCAGCCACTGCGTCCTCCGCGTCCTCCGCGTCCATAAAACGTTTTTCTCGAAGTTTTTCTTTTATTTTCGGAAATAAACAAAAATCGTAAGGTCGGGGCTATTTGGTGGGTGACCCAGTAATTCTACGTCTGATGTCACCAAGTAGTGGATTGTTTGCTTGGCGGTGTGCGACGAGGCATTGTCGTGGTGAAGGAGAATCCTAGTGCGAGGTCGTTTCTCCAGAAGTTTTCCAAGACAACCACCACTCTGTAGTAACTGTTTTTCGATCCTCTAAAAGAATTGTTGCGTAATGACCTGTCCTTCCGAAGAACGAGGCCACCGTATTTTTTCCACGCATTCGATCTCTCTTCACTTTAGTTGGCAACTCCTCGGATGAAAACACCCAGACAGCAGACTGTCTCTTAGTTTCAGGATCATAACAATAAATCCAGCTTTCGTCACCCGTAAGTATGTCGAACACAGCATTTGAGTCACCTCCGTTAAATCTTTGAACCATTTCACGACACCAATCAATACGGTGGACTTTTTGGGCCTCTCTCAAATTATGAGGTATCCCCGGGCATAAAGCTTCCTGGCCGCTAAAAGTTCATGGAGAATTTTGTGCACTTGACTCATACCGATGCCTAAGCTTGTCCGAATCAGCTGATAAGACACTCTTTTGTCAGTCTCTATCATACGCCGCACAACACTGATGTTAGCTTCATTCGCCGCCGTAGAAGGTCGTCCCTCGCGCAGATCATCGGTGAGATTAGTGCCACAACTTTTAAACTCATTAAACCGGTTGTAAACAGTGGCACGATATGGGGCTTCATCGTGAAAGGCCAATCGAAGTCTATCATAACTTTGCTGTTGACTTAAATGACATCGAAAGTCATAAAAAATCATTGTACGAAAATTTTCTCGCGTTAAATTCATGCTAACGTGACACAGAAAATTTTCAATTTGCCGCCAAATCGTAAACAAATGACAAATTAATAAAATACATACACAATAATATGGGCAAAGAGTTCCATTTTCAAAATTTGTACTTATTTTTTTTTATTATATCGTTTCAGATCAGATCAGATTCAGATCTAAAAACGTTCATTGCCGCCCTCGCATATATTAAAACTCGTCTTGAAAACCATTACGTTATTATATTTCAATACATACAATACGAAAATACGTTATACGATAATATAATGAGTATAAATAATATTGACGTTAGTGACATTGGTCTAAATTTGAACTTTTGGAAGTCGGGAATAAACAAATTAACTTAAGTGACAATTAGCGTTGTGCTGTATTTCTAGCATAAATTTCAATGTCCAGCCGGAACTGGCTATGTCCCATATTTTGGTTGATACGAAAAAAAATGAGAATGAAATTTAAAAAGTAAATACTAATAGATAAAGCAGAAACATTATTAAAAAACCTAAAAAAAATACTTATTTTCTTTTGATAAAAAAAATATATAAATCATTTGTTTGTTGTACATAACTTAACTTATATTTGTTTATCGTATCACTTTATGTTGCCGAAAATTAAAAAAATTAACTACACTCAGATAATAAATATGTGCGTGTATCTAAATTAATCAAGATAGATAAATCAAGATTGAATTAGTGTGCTGAATTTGTATGTGGTATCTTCGTGTCATGTACTTTTTATTGCTGAAGAACCAAAATTTCGACCAGCATTATGCATAATATTTTACATCAACGCTTGAGGATGAAAAATGTACTTGCACGTTGTGAACAAAGAATACTTACAACTCGATTTATAACAATATACGATGCCTGGCTCACGAAGCGTGGATTAATTTGTGTGCAAAATAAACAAATAAAATGTTCAACGAAATTCCGTATTTTTAATCGTCATCGTCTTTTTTGACGTGAAGCCGAAAAACGTGACAGTCTTATGAAAATATATGTATAAATCTGTACTTCGCTAAAATACTACGAGAAAGAGAGAGAGGATGTGCTTATGTTTGGAACTGAGGAAGGTGTTTATTGTATCAAAAATGTATTAGTATGTCGTTAAGTTAGTTGTTAATGCTCAATAAGAATAAGAGTACTGTCAATGTGTTTATTAATAAGTAATATAATTGAGCAATAGTTACTTAGGTGTTGCAAAAAGAACAATAGGTATATATTTTTCACGCTCATTGTTAGTTATAAAATATATATATAATACTAAGCAATACTTAAAGAAGCATCTAGAAATTACCCCTCCCGCTTTAATTTAAAGAACTAACCCTCGTTAATCGTTTTTCTTCTCTTAATTGTTCATTTTTGTAATAAATTCTCTCCAATCGCACAGCCTTGCCCATAAAATGAAATCTGCAATTATTGTGAGTAAACAATATTAATTTATCTGATTAATTTTAAATTAGGGTTGACTTCAAATAAGTCGTATAAATTAATACCAATTTTTGATTTGCTATGTTATATATTTGTCTATTATGGTTCATTATAGAATAAAATAGGATAATTTTAATGCAATATATATTGCAAGAATACTTATTGGAATATATTCCTCTGTCCTGGGATGTACCAGCAAGACATTTATTAAAAATATATGTCATACAATTAATATGAAAAACATTTGAAACATCATGGTAACGATTACCTCACTCCCTGTGTTAATATCAATCATGAATTCTTAAATAATTAATAACCTTTTTTTTATAGGATCGGGTGACAAACGAGCACACAGTCCACCTGATGGTAAGTGGTTACAGTGCCCCATAGACATCTACATCTATCCTCAATAAAGACTCAAGATGCAGATGCGTTGTCACCCGTGAGGACTAAGATGGAATGCCTCTTTGCCAGTAAAAAGGGTCTCCGGTTCTCTACACTCACCATACGAAACACAGCAGCGTTAAGCTGCTATTTTACGCTGGTTTTCTGTGAGAGCGTGGTCCTTCCCCGGTCGAGCCGACCCATTCGTGCTACAACCATAAAATAGCTGCAGCATGGCTCTACCATGTAGAAACAACCTTATTAAAACAACTTTTGAATTATATATTTTTTTTACTTTGGATAGACAAGTCACTGTTTAGTGGCGGCGTAAGAATATCCACTACTCCATATCATCCCGCGGCTATCGTAATAGGCGACAGAGGGCATCGAAGCATAAGATGCCAACCTGCCAGCCAAGCGTGGCCACAAGGGCAAATATTTCCGGACACCTATGTTCAGCAGTGGACTTTAGATAGGCTATAATGTAATGAAATCAATAATATCTAAAGTTATTTATTTAAAAGACTCCTTTGCATTTAGATTATAAATTACTACTAATGGATCTATTTTGCAAAACAAACAGTTTCAATATCTGTTGCATTTCCCACTAGCAAGATCCCATACGATATAATTCTATAGAAATAACTAAAATAAACTAATCGCAGCTAGATAAGTTCTAATCTGTTTCTAAGTTTATTTTAATTAGTTTAGATATATAGGGGCCCAACTGAAACTTCGCTTAAACACTAATGCCGAGAAAAGCAGCGGCTTCCACAAGGCACACTATTATTCATGTGTTTAACATTGGTTGTTGTAAATTTAATACATTTTGTTTTATTATTGTACAAAAGGAAATTGTTGACCGTTAAGTCTAAAAATTAGCGAATTAATATCAGAAAATTAAACTATATCATGATTATTCCTATCAGGTAAGTTGAGTCGTTAATATAAATTAAGAACAGGAAGGGACCACGAATTGCGCCTTAAAGAACACCAATAAATCTACCAACCTGGAAGAATAATAAATGTATTATATCATTAATATTAAATTTAAATGGCTTCAATACTTTCGACCTGTAATACTCTGCTTACTCTATTGATAGGGAATGCATTTTGGCATTAAGTCCGCTATCTTGTATCTTATAAATAAATAAAATTAAAAAAAAACACTCACATTGCTATTAGCGGAACCAAGCCACATAAGATGACATATGGGATACTAAAACCCAATTGTTTTGCACTTGATGCTGGCCAAAGAAAAGAGCATATTGTATCGGTTGAATCGCATGAATATACTCCGTACCCAAATAAAGGTGGCGTTGCAAATATCACAGAAATAAGCCAACACACACCAGCGATGATCCAGTAAAATCTAAAGTATAAAGTTTTTTCTGAAATAATTCAAACTATAAATCAAAAGAAAATGTAAGTATATGATATACAAGTTACAATTAATTTTTCCTCACCTCGTCTAGAGCGTCTTGCTAACAAATACCTTTCTAATACTAATGCAAGTAAAGCGCTCATTTGAAAGATACCGAAAAATTGATTTAAGAATGCGAATAATTGACAGCCCGCTGACCCAAATATCCATCTGAAAATTGTTTATGTATTACTTCCGTGTGTATTACTATTAGAAACCAAAATGTATTTTTGCATCATCTAATATTGGGTTCTAATCATCATCTCTATGAAAATTATTTATAAACATTATATTTACACTATAAAAAGTCCGGAAATAATTCATAATGAAACTCATCGCGCCGCCAGGCCCAAATGTATAGTTTGTAATATAAACTGTTTTACATACACCTCGTATGTAATGAAACGGATCATTACGGAGAACGAATTGTTTCTTAAATATAGGAATTGGAGATTAGAGATTTACTTCGATATCTTTATGCCTGTCACGGCTCTTTTATGTTTTGATTGCGTTTGAAATTTGGCATAGCTTGCAGTTAATACGGACCTGAGATATTTTTGGTCTGGAAATTTGGAAGCCAAAAGGAAAATCATATGAGGTATCGTATAAGGATCTTTGAAGTACCATTTCAAAAATATATTAATCATTATTTTCATTTTAGCTCAATTTTATCGTATCACCAAAAGTATCGTTAATAACATCTGAAAAATCTTGAATATAGATTATAAAAATTATTAGAATTTTGTGAACGTGTTAATGAGGTAGCAACACAGATGGTTACAGCAAAAGATTGGTGGAAAGGTGCAGTAATCAAATTATATAAATAATGAAAGTGAAAATTAAATGAAACTAATTTTTACGGATTTTTTCGCGTTTAATTTAACTTTTTTACTTCCCGACGTTTCGTGTGCTTTCCTGCTTTCCTCCCGTGACCACGGGTGCTGAAAAGCACCCGAAATGTCGGGAAGTAAAAAAGTTAAATTAAACGCGAAAAAATCCGTAAAAATTCGTAATGTGTAGTCTTCGCGTAAATTTAAGAAATCATTGTGAAAATTAAATTTATTTAGTGGTATTTTAAATTGAACAACAATCTTTATTTTACTTTTAATTTAATCTTTATATGTGTAACTAAAAGATTACACACAATATTAAAAAAAAACTATAATAAATAAAATCCAAAACTAAAAATGTTAATTGTCATACAGTCCTACTCCCCGCGGTATTTCTAATTTTACTTTTTGATAGATAGCGCTAAAGTTAAGTTATTCGAATCATGAATATAAAATTTTAAATTCATAATTTTAAAAATCAAAATCAAAATCAATTCATACAAAGCATCCACAACGTTATGAACTCAACGCCCAATATACGCCTGCGGACATTTCCCAACCACGTCGCAACGATCAACATATTTTTAAACTTTATTTATAAGTTAATAAAGCATTCATTTTTAGAACTCCACATGATCCGCTTTATGCCTAACAGAAGCATTTGCTGCCATAATAAAAATAAATAAACTTCTTAAGGAAAACGTAAATTACCCTTTTTTAACTTCTAAAGTCGGATAAAAGTACATTAAGATCATTAACTACCCACATTCCAAATTTCATTGAAATCTGTTCCGTAGTTGAAATACAAAATTGTCTTACATTGTGCTGCCCTTTCCGATGACACTTTGTCCTTTAAAAATCTTTAAATTCACAATAAAAAATATTGATGGTCACTTATAGGGATAAAACCTATCCTATGTCTCAAGTTGGAAAAAGCAAAATCGGTTGAGTGGTTTCGGAGTTCATCGCAGACAAACAACGCGACACGTAATTTTTATATAATATATAAAGATTTTAGATAAACTAACATAAATCACATTCAAATGAAATAAAAATAAACATAAAATAATGACGTACCTTCCTGCAATAGCAGACGATCCCGAAAATGGAGAACCGAGAAGATTTCTGCCAAGTGATGCCGAACAAAGATTGAGTACAAGTATATGACTTTTCGAAATAAGCAAATGACTGTGGATGAACGTGGCAAAAAGCCAGCCGTTGAGCAGCACCCCAAATACACCTGACAAGAATTACGATTAATTTACACACAATTTCGCATTTACTAATTGAAATATTTGAACTTTTAAATTACTTTATGTTTTACAAAGGAGAAGCACTTGATTCGATTATCACTTCGTTTGCCAACCATACACTTACCGAAGATAATAAGACACGCGCCCAGTAATGTTTTATAGGAACTATCAAAGTAGTACCATGGACATCCATCTTCGTGATAGTCAAACAATGTTTGCATTCTCCAGGATCGGTTTGATTGATATTTCCCCTTGAAGGCACCAAATTAAAGCAAATCGTTCTCTTTTTTTATTTTTTTGATAATTTGTATGCTGAATTAATGTTTAGCCATTTACACGAACGTCCTCGTAGATCCAGCATTCACATAGACTGGTTAGGTTGTCGAACCAGTGCAGGCACTTGCCTCACAAAACAATAATATCGTATTACCTGAATCCACTTTGTATGCGACATCAGGGGCGTGAACGTCCTGCTTGAGATACGTTAAGCAGCAAATAACAAAGCTACAAACCGCTACCTTCGTGACATTTTTGTGAGTTTAATAGTCCATAGATGAAGAACCAAAACCAAAATGTATTATTTCTCTACAAATAATGGTCTAAGTGTAATAATAATCTAGATTTTTGACTACTTTACTAGGTTGTAGAAGAGTCCCTCTTCTACCCAGAAGTCCAACTGGTACCAAGCCCTTACATTTTTCAGGCACAGCTGTGTTCCACTGAAGGAGATAGGGAGCCAGTATAGTTACAGGGTGTGAGGCATTCCATCTGAGTCCTCAGAGGTGATAATTGACAACGTAATGTTTGAAATTTGTAGGTGGTTCATTGGCTACATTGGGTGACTGTTCGTTCACTTCAATTTTATAGATAATTATAACTTTTAACAACAAGTAAAAACCAACTTCAAATTAGTGGTGGAATTTTTTCTTAAAATTTATACACCTCCACACTTGAAGTACCTATAACCTTTCAATAAAAAAATAATCATCAAAATCGGTTCACAATCTGCGAAGATATTGCGTAACATACATACAAAAAACATACAATCAATACTTTTTGAAGTCGATTAGAAAAAGAAGTTCGAGATCATTTTCTAAAAATGGTAATAAATAGCTAACATTTACGTTTGTAATTGTTTATTCGTTCACTTAATTCATTCATTACAGTTCATTAAAAGTCCACTGATGAACATAGGCTTCCCAAATAGAAATCATTGGAGGGTTTTTGCTATGGTTATCACGCTTTGCTGCTGTTTTTTATTATTTTTATTATTGAGCTGTTACGAAGAAGATGCTGCTCGTCTCCTGTTTTAATTTTCCTCTTTCATCTCTTACGCCTATGGGATGATATGGAGTAGTGGATTATCTTATGCCGGTACTGCACGCCGAATAATATAATTTTTTTTTATTTCAAAAGTTCCCCGCTGGCCATTGGCCTTCCTTTTAAATTGCCTCAAAGATATATAAAAAATTATTTATTGCACTCAAAATAATTGATAAATAAATGGCATTCTCTGTCAGCTAAACTTTGGTAGTGTGGTGAGAGTTATAGGTAGAGTACCTTATAAGAATACACAGATAAACATAGGCTTAACATGGTACATGCTGAGCTATATACATATAAATATATACTAGCTGACCAGGCAGACGTTGTTCTGCCCTCTCCGACGATCCTGTGTCCTATAAAAATTCTTAAATTCGTAATCTAAAATATTGAGGGTCACTTATAGGGATAAGAACTATCCTATCTCTCAAGTTGGACCAAACTGCACACAGTGTGCAAAATTTCATTGCAATCAGTTTAGTAGTTTAGGAGTTCATCGCGGACAAACAATGTGATAATTTTAATTTATGCACTAATAGCAATTTACATTAATACACTTTTAGAATGTAAGTCATTTGTTGTAGGCCGCAACGCAACGATGGATGTCCCCTAGCCTTTAAATACATTTATTTACACGTCCGTCTGCAACATTGCGTAGCTGCTAATATATTATTATTACCACCGGCTACATCACTCCCATTTAAAAATAACTATCCAACTTCTTACATAACAACATTTTTAAAGTTGTCACAGTGTCGTTTTTACAATGTTGGCACGACTGACACAGGTAATCGGTGAACTCGCCAGACGTAAAACATTGATCAAAGTGGTTCGTACGCAAATTACCTGATAAAATAACACAGACCTGGCAACGGCAATGTGGTTCACGTCAGGTACGCTCAACACTTGCCTCGCAGCCGGCGCACGTCTATCGGCCACAGTTAGTTAGGGAGAGAATCGCGTTGCTTTTGGCGATGTAAATCCGATCACTGTCTAGCCGATGTTATCAAACTCGCTGATGTGTATATTAACGTCGGGTACGCGGTGCAGTACCGGCTCCGAACGAGTTGCGAGAGGATGTTATCGATGGAACAATTGTCGCAAATGCTCCAACGTCATCTTGGATTGACTAATAACGCGAATGAGTTACAATATTCATCGAAATCGAAATGGATTATTATGGAATCGCCACTCGGAGGTCGCGGTCTCTTCGCAACAGAAGATATATCATCCGGCGAAGTGTTGTTTGTCGACCATCCCCTTGTTTACGGTCCACGATCCGGAACTATCATTCAACGTGGATGTACAGTTTGCAACATATTAAACACAAACAATTTATTCAAGTGCTATAAATGTTCACTGTTGCTCTGTTCGGAGTCGTGTCAAAACAATAGCGTTCATTACAATGACTGTAGAGTTATTTCCGGTTGGCATAATAAAGTGCCTATTGAGGAAGTCGACGACGAACTGCTGTCGCGTGCGTTAACAGCCATCAGAGCACTAATACTGAATGAAGATCAAAAACAATTTATGACTTCCCTCCAAGCGCACGTACTACCTCAACACGGTACGGAAATTAAAGATTTACAACAGTACTTTGAGATACCAACAGAAGATGAACAATTTATGATTTTAGCTTCATGTGTGCTAGATGCCAATGCATTCCAGATAGCTACATCCTACGAGAGAAAAGAAATGGGCAAAAGGGGCCTGTACCCAGTATCTTCTTTGATGAATCACCACTGCGTACCAAACACAAGATACAACTACAATAGTGATTTACAAATGATCGTTAAGGCGGTTAAGCCCATACGAGCTGGATCAGAAATATTTACATGTTACACGGGGTTATTGTGGGGAACACCAGCTCGTCGAATCCATCTTTATAAGACAAAACACTTTTTTTGTAAATGTGAACGCTGTGCGGATCCAACTGAGCGGGGAACGCTTTTAGCAGCCCTAAAATGCTTCTCTTCAGAGTGTCCTGGTTCTCTTCTACCCATAGAACCCTTAAAATCTTCATCGACGTGGCGATGCTTGGAGTGCGGCTTAAGAGTGCCATGTGATAATATCTGTACATTACAAAGTGCATTAGGTAGTCTTATGGGGTCATTAGACTTCGGAAATGTTGAAGAATTGGAAAACTTTTTTCTTACACGTGTTACAAAATATATTCCAAAGACAAACCAAATTGTGGTGGACTTACAATGTCGACTAATTTGGAAGTTGGGAGAAGTGAACGGACTGAGCTGGCATGGTAAGATATTTTAAAAGCTCGCTGTTTGCTTATTTCTTATTGCTTTTAGAATGTCATCATGATAATAACTTTTTCGAATAATATTAGCGAAAGTTATCAATAGAGAAAATCGCTCAGCAGTTTTATGAAAAGTAGCTTGTATAACGATTATCAAGCAATAAATTATCAGACCACACATTATGTAATGCTTATAGCACATTTATGTATTTTTGTATTACTACAGAGATCCTTAATCTATATAAATAAAATCATAGAGGTTTGCAGTTGTGCTCGCATCATGGAAAAACTACTGGATAGATTTCAATTAGGTTTTCTAAGTTTTATTTCTTAGACATTTGGCCCATATCTAAAAAAATATATTGCGATATCTTTATTTAATACAAAGTTATTAAAGTTTTAAGAAACAACGATTTTGGAAGCAGAGTACATTTTTGCTTGCGATACGAAAACTTTCTTAGCACATAATAAAACTATGTTCATAATTTAAGCAACGCGGACGAAGTCGCGGGTATCAGCTAGTTAAAAATAAAATGCTGATGTTTTATCAGTTACCAGTAAAAAAGTTTGTTGATAATTATATACGAAATACGGCAACCATTATCCTATAATCTATAAATTCCTTTTTTACGCTGGTATTCTGTGACCGCCTGCACCTTTTCGGTCGAGCCATTCAGGTTGCAATACAGCTTTGCAATACAGTCTTCGTTATACGTAATAGTAAAAAAAAATACGTCTGCTAAGTTAACTTTCTCCTGTAATTAAATGCAATACATTTTTTTTATTTTGGAAAATAGATAGGTACTTTCAAAACAATTTTTCTGTTTAATTGGCTTTTTTTAGAATAAGGACGGCAAACGAGCAGACACGATATGTGGGGAAACACGATAGCAAGTGGATAGACATCTACATTTAGCCTCAACTAAGAATCACAATGAAGGTGCACTGTTTCTGAGTACCAAGATGGGATGCCTCGTTTCTAGTAAAAAGGATCTTCGCTTCTCTACGCTCATCATACAAAACACAGTTAAAGTAACATGAAGCTGTTGATATTTTACGCTATTATACTGTGAAAGCGTGGTCCTTCCCCCGTTGAGTCGACCCATTCGTGCTACAACAATAATATAGCTGTAGCGTGGCTCCACCATAAATGGCCTCTTTGTAACCGAAATTTCACCGAATTTACATGGCCGAGGAGAAGTCTAAAATACTGTAATTGAACAAATATCATTCAATGCTCGAATTATATAAGCATATGGTGTGTCATATTGGAACATGTATAAAATATTATATAACCCATAGTATGATAATTATAACGTCCACCTGGCTGATTTCAATCACGGAACTATTAGAACTGTCATGTTGACTGCACAAAAATATATAGCCGGTCGTAAGCACTCATTCAGCTTAACTTTTCCTTTGTCTTTCAAGGCTTAAAAAATATGAAAGCGCCTTTAATTTTTTAATAGCACTAAAATTTTAATATCATTTTCTTAACAAACTACGCGTACTAGGCTATTATAAAAAAAACAGTCGCGAAACGTCAATTTTTTTCGGGAGTTATCGTGACCACATACAAAATTAACATCCGGCCGGCCGCGTAATTTTTTTTCAAAGTAGAAATATTAAATGATTTAAAAAAAT